TTTCTGACCACTTGATCCTGCTTTTTTTCTCTCTCGACTTTTTGAAATCTTTTCTTCAAAGACCAGGATACATTTCTGTGTATGTCCAGAATTCAATTCCTAGTCTATTACAAATTCCAATTTTACATTTTGACTTTTTCTTAGGGTTTCCATCATTTCTACTTTACCAAGTTATCTTTATTCGTTAGAATCTTGATTTCTATCAGTCCTTCATTCTGAAATACAGAACCTGTCAGAAGGCAATACAGAATTTATCAGAGGAATATGATGAACAGAAGATGTTCATATAATTAGTGTCTCTCATGATATAACTATCTTGTTTCTGAACCAAGAAATTTCTATTAAAAATATGCCCTCTACATCTTTAGTTTGGTGAGCACTGATTATATGGCCATTAGTGTGATATTCTTTCTCCTTCTGAACTCACTTTAAATATACTTCACCGCATTTCAACACTAGGTCTGTGTTTTCCCGGGCATGTGCATATTTTTCTTGAGGTACCATGTTCTTCTGTCAGCTTGTTTTTGCTGAACATTGTAGAATATCTTATTGGCATGAGATCCAGTCAACCGAATTTCAATAATGACTATGTAATCATATTTACCTCTGTTGTAAGGTTCAACTTTCTTAATAGGTTGGAGCCTATTAAGGTTCCAAATTCGTTAATAGCCACTCATCTTTTCAGTTTTTGTGCATTTATATATAGATATCTAAGACCATATATAATTTGTACCAGGGCCTTTTAGCTTCCATGTCATTTCATCTTATAATTTTGCACTAATCATATCATCCCTGGCGTGAAACTTAGTACAGCATGCACCTTCTTGCTGCCTGAATTTTTTTTCTCCTTTGGATACTTAGGAAGGATGCCCTACATGCTCCCCTCCCTTTTTCTCCACATTTTCTCTTCATTGGACCTGGACACATCCAGAGCATTTCTGAATCTAACTTGTAATGTTTTCTCTTATTGCACACTGCTTTCCCCTTCCATTTTTGTAGTGTATGACAGCTTTTCCTAATTTGGGATCAGTGTTTTTCATGATTATAGACATTAGTTGCTTGTTGTTGTTGACTTTTTTATTTCTTGGCAAAAGAAGTATGTTCCTCCTAACCTGTTTTGAAAGTTAAAATGACTCAGCAAAAAAACCTGCGGTGTAATCCCCCCCCCCAAAAAAAAAACAGCCCACAACTTGTATCACAGTGAGGTTTGCAGGGTCAGACCCATTTTTTGTGTCTATCATAGATTCAGGTTGTCACTAAGATAAAATAAGAAAGTTACTGCCTTGCAGCTCCTCTGTTCCCTTACCTGAGTTATAAATAATGTTTGCCAAGTAAAAGCAAAAACATTGTCGCCCAAGTATGAATTCTTATCCTCCTCTGAGCTTTAAAATAAAACTTTTCAGAATTATGAAATAGAGTACAGGGCAGAGAAAGCAGCCTTTTAAAACAAAGTTCAAATCAATAATAATTAACATTTCCTAGCCTCTATTTTCCTGCTAATGACTGAAGACAAGTACTAATTAGAGAAGCCTCAAGTGTCTGGGTTTCTAGATGAACCAGATGGTGCTGCATAAGAACTACGCCTAGTGCAGGGGAGGAGTCTGGGTTCTTAGCTACCTGTCCTACATCTTGATCTTGTCTGAGGACACTTATTAAATCTGCTCACTGCTTTGCACTGAGACTGTTTCTTTGTTCTTTATTTTCTGTCTTGCCTACTTCTGATTTCAGGAGGCACACTTCTGCCGTGGTTAGTGAGTACTCTTGTGGGCTTTTATTTTTACTTTTTTTTTAACAAGCTCATTTTATTCCTCTTTTTTTTTTTTTTTTCAGATTTCCTTTACCTCCCATGTTATCACCTGATTTCACTAGACTGTTTCCCCCACCTTGATTCTTCCTCAGAATCACTCAATACCACAGAAGGCTGCAGTCCCTTCAATAGCTGTTATTAAGATAGTTCTGCCTCTCTGTTTTTTCTAAACTCTTCACAGATTGTCTGAAAACATATGTTTCCTTCTTTTGGTTTGTACTTCAAATGTTTTCTTCCTTTGCTATTAGCTCTGCTAACCAACTCTGAGAAAGTTTTGATTTTTATATAGAAATTTTCAGTGCTGTTGAGTGTTGATACTGTTTGGACAAATGCTGCACATGTATTTTCTACAATAGGAAAATCATTTCTCTCAGGATGACAAAACACAGAACTGATGACATTTAACCAGATTCTTGCTTCCTTCTAAGTTCTTTTGTCAGGACACATTCTCTCACTCTATTTGTCGTCAAAGTCATAATGTCATTGCCCTCAGTAAGGAAACTTTGTCTTAATTTGGTGTTTTTTGGCAAAACTTTCTTTATTGGAATCAAAAGACAATAGTGATTGGTTATCATCAGCATTTCTGTATTAAGAGAAGTATTACTATTTTTTTTTCCTTTTCCATTATGTTTCTTGTCCTACTGAAGGGCAAAGGCAAGGAGACCCAATTAGGAAGCTGCTGTAGTAATTCAAGCAAGAGAGATGAGGGCCTGAACTTTTGGAACAGCGTCCAGCATGGAGAATAATGCATATTATCTTTAAAAAGCATAGGAAAAGCATAGGAAAGCATAGAAAGCATCTTTAAAAAGCATAAAAAGCATAGGAAAAAGAGTTGCCTTAATTTATTTTATAATGTTGTAAGTGCTTTTAGAGTTTAGAAACCACAGTTTTTCTTTGAGTCCCTGTTTTCTTTTTACATGTCCTTTTGGTACATGTCTGACTAATTAAGGAATTTATGACATCCTCCACTTAATATATTTTCTAGTTTGGGACACTCCTTACTTAATGTCTGCTGCATCTTAAAAAAAATATATGTAGGTTTTCCACCCTTTGATATAGAAGTAAAATGAAAGAAAAATAACTTGGACTGTTACCCAGAGATAATAATTATTAGCATTTCGGTGTATTTCCTTTCAGTTTTTTTGTAGGTATAGAGACAATTTTGCCAAAGAGCATATTAGTAAATATTTGTACAAAATCTTGCATCTTATGAAACATTAAATTATGACATGTCATTATGTATTATGAAAGCAAAGTATTGATCTACCATGTGGATGTATCATATATATTTTACCATTATCCTATTGTGGACAACTTAGGTTGTTTCCAACTCATTATTATTTACCAAATGCTTTGGCCAATATTTTCATGAATAATAAGTCTTCGTATCCTCAGGATATGAAGTCTTCATTATCCTCAGGATAATGAGTTCATGTATAAACAAGTTTTTAAAGTCCAGAACTTTTTTGAAGGCGTGAATTGAATAAGCATAAAAATATGAATAAACCCTGCTGGCTAAAAGTTCCAACTACTGGAAGAAGTGTGGTAATGCCTAGCTGCTCTGCATTTCCCATATCCACCTCCTCTTTACCTGGTAACCACCCTGTGGGGAATACCAAAGCATAGAGAAGCCTTGGGGGGGGTGGGGAAGATACAGATTACAGTGATGGGGAGTCCCCTTGCTTCCCCCTAACTCATTCTCAGATGAATGCACGTCTACAGCTCTGTTAACTATTTCAACGTCGATGTCAACATGTTTACTGACTCTTATTTGGAGTTTTTGTTTGATTTTGGTTAGGATCCTTCTAATTATCATTGAAGATAGCTTTTATCTACCGCATCCCCCCCTCCCTCCAGCTATTTGGGAACACTGCATAATAACTAAAATGACCTTTGTAATCCCTGGTATTCTTTCATTGGAGGAGGAATATGGTATGGGCATACAGGTTAAAATAGCATAAAAAGTGCCTCTTGACCTCAGAATTTCGGGAGGTAATTTCAGGTATTTGTTTAGGTGGCATGTTTAATGTAATTCACCTTGCACAAGTTAGATTATTTAAGCAAATAATTCTTTGCTTTGGATATGGCATATACTAAACTGAGCGTATATATGGCATATACTGAAGAGTCTTTAAGATAATATTTTTTCTTGACACCAAAAAGATAATTCTTTGACCCCAACAACATTGGCCGTAGTTTTTCTTGATCATTGTTATTCTGAGGTTCTTTTTATGTTGATATAAAAATTCTTTTTCGTCTTTTTTTTTAATGAATTATAAAATAGACTAACTTGGAGTATTTCATACTGCTGTAAAATGACCTTTTGCTCTGTGAATGACTTCAATTCTAATTACATTGAGTATTTCTAGTTATTAGTTAATGTTTCCTTTTCAGATTTCCATATTGAAATTAATGATCTGTCTTTAAAATTATTTCAGCAGTTGCAATTCTATCATGATTCTAGGAAGCTAATAACAGAAATAATTAAAAACTGTTACAAATAGCATTTGTATCTATATTTAAAAAGCTCTTCAATTGACCAAGCAGATGTTGTTACAGATTTTTGTCTTTGATATGATAAATCTCCCATTAAATTTGAAAATCAGGGTTTAAGGGATGTGCTTTCAAGTTTTGAGCTGCAATTTGTGAAAGTTCAAGCAGCTGTACTGAGAAAACATTTGACAAATCTGAAACTGAGACTCTTTTAGGCAAAGACTAAGTTCTGGAGCTTTATGTTCTGTATTTTATTTTCAGACGCATGTATTTGAATTTATTTTTTTGTGGGTCTAGAAGTGTCTGTGATTAGTGTACTTTATCTCTCTTTGATTTATATATGTGTGTGTGTATTATATTATTTTTTTAAAGGTCCATTTATTTATTAGAGAGATTACATGTGTGTGCACACACGCACTTTGGGAGAGGGGTGGGGGGAGAGGAGAGAGAGAATCCCAAGTACACTCCCTGCCTGAGTGTGGAGCCTGATGCCAGCTGATCTCACAACCTCAAGATCATGACTTGAGCAGAAATCAAGAGTTAGATGATTGACCAATGGAGCCACCCAGGCGTCCTTATATATATATTTTACATTTTATATACAATCTTAAGTTGGAAGTAATGATGCATATACTTCTTTTTTAAAAAAATAAAAATGTTCATTTTAAGCTCTCACTAAATTTTTTTTCTTTTTACCTAGGTTGAAGAAATTGTGGATATTGGATCATTTGCCCCAGAAGACATCCATATTCCGAAGATTTACGTACATCGCCTTATAAAGGGAGAAAAATATGAGAAAAGGATTGAGGTAATTGATTTAGCTTAGTATATATGAATCTGATTATCAGAGAGAGGTGCCACTGGGGCCATTCCAGATGATAGGGAATTAGAGCTGAATGGAAAGTCTTGCTTTGGATTGTAGTAGGAGCTTCTCGTGTGTCCATCCTAAGAGGACATGATTGTCTATGTTATTGTCCAGCCTAACAGTGACTTGTGTTTACAAAGTGTATATCACCAAGTTATGATATTCTCTAGGCTGTCTTCTAGTCTTCTGTAACTCTCTTAATTTACAATGCATAGTTTTGACTGACTGTCCTAGCATTGAGGTTTTAGCCTGGCTGCACTTAGTGTTTGATTATTCTGAAATACCTGTCTTGAAGATGCTTTGCACTTCATAAAGTCCAGAACATCATTCCCATTAGCATCAGGCACTGGGTAGCTGGTGGATATGAGGTTATGTCAGTAATCTCCAGGAGCAGTGGAGGTATTCTTAGGCTACTGAGGGCATGAAGAATGCTCAGCTGGGCCAGAATTGATATCAAGATTCACAACTGTCTAAAGTGTAGCAACAGAACAGATATCCAGTAGGAGATGTTAGGCAAACAGAGATACCTTCTCCCATGTTTCAAAGACATCTTGCAATTTAATACTAATGTCAGGGGTCTCAGGAGAGAAGATGTGGGACATTTGCAAATAGGAACCAGAGTCTATGTCAAGGAGATTTAGTAATGGAAGTAGTTTCCTGGCTAGTTTCTGGATATTTTTATGATTCCTGTGATGCTCTTGTAGCAAAACCAGTCTAGACTCTGCAGGTGGAAATATGCAATTGCCAGTAGCAACACCTCATAAAAAACATTCTGACAACCCTGCAAAAACAGAGTCCCAAGGTCTGTTCCTTTTCTTTGTTCTGGTTCAATCCTTGAGTACCTGAGAATTCAGTTTCAGAAGTCTTAAGAGTGATAGTAATAGCAGTCAATGTGACAGTAACAGGAATTATTTGCTTCAAAAAACAACAAGTATATCTTCTTCTTCAAACAAATCTGACCTCTTTCACTTTCTAAAACATTTCTTTTTTTTTTTCTCTAAAACATTTCTGTCATCAAATACCACCCATGTTATTCTTTAAAAAAAAAAAAACCTCTCTGTTCTATTGTAGATTTACCTCATAGTAGTAATGGGAGAGACTTAAAATTTTTTCCAGTAAAATTTTATATTTCAGCAGTGATAAAATACAAGGTATAACTCAACTATGAATAATCTATTTCTGTCTATTTTAAAGCGTTTATCAGTCCGGAAAGAGGAAGATGTAAAAACCAAATCCAGTAAACCTGGAGATAATGTAAGGGAACGTATCATCAAGCGGGCAGCTCTTGAATTTGAGGACGGCATGTATGGTATCCTTTACCTATTCTGGGGCTGGACGGAGACATAGCCCTCACTTTTTCTATATTCATCAGCCTACTGGGCCTCCTGCTTAGTGATTCTTCTTGCTAGTCCACTGTAACTTTTAAAGCAGTGGCTCAATTTTTACAAAATGTGGTATATAGCCTAAAGATATCAAGATATATGAAATTGGAATTATAATCTGTTTGCCTTCTTGAAACAAAAGGGCAATCAAAATTTGCTTAGCTATTTTCTAATATACAATGGATTTCAGTACAATTTGGCATTTTGCTAAAGGTTATTGGGAAAACAGATTACCCAAGATGAGAGTTTCAAATCTCAGAAGTACTAGTTACAACAGTGCTATTTACTTTCTCTGTGTTCTGACATTTGCATACTCATTGAAACATAAGATCCAACTTCTTAACAACCCTGGTTTCCTTTGACAAAGATCCCAGGAGTGTACCTTTTTATGTCTAATGCTTTGTAAGAGTATTCAAGGAATGATTCAAATTCTGCTTTAGATACTTTGTCAAAAAAAAATAAAAGAGGTAGGTTGAGATAATTTAGTACAATTAATTTGGTTTTTGACTGTGTTTAACAATGAGTCTCTTGGCCATTTTGCTCATTTTCAATATGTCAAACATTGAACTATACAATAACAAATATTGCATGTAAATACAAATAGTGTTTGATAAAATAAATATTTGTTGAGTGGTAAATACACTAAAGCCATAGTTAAAGGCCTAAAGGAGGAGCTAAAAATAGGACAAAAGTGTCTACGTTCTGTGAGCTTCCCCCGCCCATGAATATCATCATTCAGACTGATCCTGACTGGGGAAACTCTTTTTCTACTTTATTTTTACCTCTACCTTTTTATCTTTCTTTGTTTCCCAGTTTATACCTTGTGTTATGGTGAGAATTCACATGGAGAGGGGAATATAATAGCACCTCCTCTTTAGCTCCTGTGTCTGCAAGATAAAACATCAACCAAGTTAACTTAGCCATGAAAGCTGGCCCTGGGTTTTCTTCTGACCCCTAGTCAGTTGTTTTCCCAGTAACATTTAAACACTGACTATATGATAACACTGATTATAGATAATAATGGCTTCTACATGTTCTTTATTCACTGTTCTTGTACAGCATATGAAAAATACTTGCTAGTTGATATAAATGGTCTTTTCATACCACCCACTTTTTTTTTCAATCCAGAGTACACAGACTTCTTTATGCCTGATATTTGACCCACTAAAAAGCATTAACAAACTGGAAAAATTATGATGAAAGAATTCAGGCAGTGTCTTGGTTAATTGAATCTTCCTGCCAGCCTTCATTGTCTATAATATTGCAGCATATACAAACTTTATTTTTTCTGGCTCTGATGCATAAAGATCTCACTGTTACTGGAATCTCATCAGAGCGCCATCATTCTTTGCACTAGTTCTGGTGAGTACTGCAGTGTGAGGTGGTGGTGGACAGCATGAACAGCAGTTCCAGGCAATGTGAGTATGTCTGATCTAGTTAGCCTGCTTGTGTTGAGAGGCAAGATTAAATCTACACCATTCAGAAAAATCACTTTAGGAAGAAGAATCAAACTCTCAGCTCTTTGATGACTTAGCTCAGCTACTTTTTATATGGTCTCAGTTATATTCACTGAAACTTGGACACCTCCTCCTCCTTCTATATATCTTAGAGAAGATTCAGTTTCCAATGAATGTTATCTCAGTGACCCAAAGGAATCATTACGGCTTTAGACAGACATTTTGGTATTGTCAGAAACTTTCTTTTTAATTTAAAAATGACAGCCCTTTTTGAGAATATTAAATCATTGTCATTTTTAGTTGGGAGTTTTGAATAGTGAAAATTACTTTTAAACAAAGGTCAAGCCATGTTTAATAATATGTCAGGCATAATAAGTCATAATACACCAGTTCAAATTTGCTAAGCACATTAATGAAAATAAAATAGGTCTTACAATAAAAATGACCTCTGAAGCTACTACTTTGATATCTTTATAGGAAAGCGTATTGTTATTGGAATTAGGATTTTCTTTTTAAAAAAGGTTACAAAATAGCACCTGGAAGGTGATGGGAGAATGTATTCCATGATTACATTCAGAACAAGTGCCTTTAAAGTTCAGATTTATACATGTGGCAGATTTATGGCATAATCTCTCTACCTTTTATTCGGTGGACCTTAACATCTTTTTTCCCCAGCTAATTTGGGCATAGGGATCCCGCTTCTAGCCAGCAACTATATCAGCCCAAATATCACAGTTCATCTGCAAAGTGAAAATGGAATCCTTGGTTTGGTAAGGCAGAAATTAATGTTTTATTTATCCAGTCTTGATGGAAAAATGAGATAGTCCATATAGTAAAATCTTCTGAGAGTAGTTAAAGTTCTCAGCGTTATTTTTAAGGTGTCTGACCCTTCTGGCTGTTCCTCCTGGGTCAGTTTGTCGGTGTGTTCCTGCTTCACAGAGCCCTCACGGTGTCCTGTTTACATAACTTTCTTTTGTGTGATTGGACAGGATAATGAAGGTTATCATTCGTACAGAATTTATTAAGAATTCTGTAGTAAGCAATGACCGATAAAACTCTGAATGAGAAACTGAAAAGTAAGGTTTTTGCTTGAGGAAATGAGACCTTTTTTGACAGTTGATTAATTCAAAAAGTTCTTACCTGATTATTTTGAGGCCATGTTGTTAAAAAGGGAAATTTTTTTTCTCTTCCTCAAGATTAACCCTGCAGATGAGTTCAACATTCTCATAGAATTTGGACATACTTTTAATTCAGTCCATAATAATAAGAAATACTTTTGCTTCCTGAATGACATTTTTTATGTAATATTAAGTATTGGCAGACATTATTTATAGTTTGGCCTATTTATAAGATTTCTAATCTATTCTCAGTAGATCTTAATTATTATTGTATTAAAAGTTGTATATAGGGAAAGTGTGTATCTAGTCTTTAAAACATAAATAATGAGGGGCATCCGGGTGTCTCAGTGGTTGAGCATCTGCCTTCAGCTCAGGTCGTGATCTCGGGGTCCTGGGATGGAGTTCCACATCGGGCACCCTGCAGGGAACCTACTTCTCCCTCTGCCTGTGTCTCTGCCTCTGTGTCTCTCGTGAATAAATAAATAAAATCTTTTAAAAAATAAAACCTGAATAGGATCATTAACATGTAGTTGATACTGATTGAGGCAATAATCATGACCATCCTTAAAAGCATAGAACTGATATAAGTCTGGATAAAAGATTCATACTGCAGTCGAAGACTCACATATCTTTAAAATGTGATTAATTATAGAGACTGGTTCTCTCATTTTCAACAAGGGAAATGAGTTGATATGTATTATCCATGGTCAGTGTCTAAAGGGAAAATTTATATAGTCCTAAAACATTAGTTGCTACTTCAGTTTATTTAAATGATAATGTTTAGACTCCCTCTCTTTTTCTTTTTTTTTAAAGATTTTCTTTATTTGAGATAGAACTAGCAAGAGAGAGGCAGAAAGAGGGAGAGAGCATGAGTGGGGAGAGAGGCTGAGGGAGAAGGAGAAGCAGGTTCTCTACTGAGCAGGGAACCTGACTTGGAACTCGAGCCCAGGACCCTGGGATGATGACCTGAACCAAAGGCAGATACTTAACCAACTGAACCACCCAGGTAGCCCATGGTCTTTCTTTTAAAAGTATGTTAGAATTTCCCAGCTCAGATTTCCTCACTCTTGGTTCTGTCTTATGCCTTCCCCCTGCCTTTTTCCATTTCCTCCTGTTTCATTTACTGTATCTTATGTTGTTATGAAACTACTCACCCCATTCAAGTAATGTAGATGCCTTATAAAAATACATACAAAATTAAAAAGCAAAACTGAGAGTAACCAAGCAAAGGGAAAATATGGGCATCAAAACTTAGGTGTTGTGAGAGATAAGGTCCAAATTAGAACTTTTAGATACTGCATACCTAAAGGATGAAATTTTGCCTCTCTAGGTCCTTCTAGTCAAATAAGGCAGACATTTTTTATTATAGTCACTGATACTACCAGGAAGATTTATGAGTAACATTGACTGCATAGTAGGTACTAAATAATTTTTGTTTTACTGACCTATATTTCTAATAGCTCAAATTTTCTTTCGAACTTTGGTTATTTTTAGGAAATAATCTTTATTTATCACAGTTATTAGTATAGGAAAGACTAATCAATATGAGAAACAGCCATGAAAATACTGGAATTATTTTTAAAAGGTTCACCTCAAGGTCTTTTGATAGGAATTTCCTAACGTTTTTAGAGAAGTTATTTATGCTACGATTTTAGTGTATAATTCAGTGAGAAGCTTCTTTTACTAATTCGGTGTGTGCTTTGACAGGGTCCGTATCCACTACAAAATGAAGTTGATGCAGATCTAATCAATGCAGGTAAACTCCTTCATCACATGTTTTTCTAGTGTTTTCCTTTGCTGTTAATTTAGTTCTTTGCCGAATAAGAGAAAGGAGTTGGACTTGATTCTTTGTCTTTTCCCGGATTCTTTTCCCGGAGCGTGCTCCATTGTGTTTTTCACTCAGGCGGGAAGAGAAGCCTTCCTAGTCTCTTCTTTGCCTGGTTTGCTCATAAGAGATCATCTCTTAGAGAAGACTAGGATAGGGGAGAAATTGCAGGTGGGGCTACATATAATGGCACCCAGGCTGAAAAATGTCTGCCTTTTTGTGATGAGAACGATGACAAGTGAATCCAGAGGCCAAAAGAAAAGATCTGTCACACTGGGATTTTTATTCTGAGCAATACTTAGTGTCCCTTCATCATCATTGAAGGAGAGCATCCTTCAAAGGTTCAAGGATATTTAAGGATTTATTCTGCCACTAAGTACAACCCAGTGATGTGAACAATAGTGTTTTTTTTTTTTTGAACTGGCACTCTAGTCTCTCTTCCTAATTTGCACATTTATATGCTTCGCCTTTTATTATTAAGCCTTTTATTTGACTATGACATAGAGTTGCATGTAGTAAGAACAGCCCAGAGGAAAAAAAAAAAAAAACAGGCCAGATCCTTTGGCCATCATCGCTGCCCATACTTGAGGCAACACTGCCACCTTGTTGGGGCTGAAGATTATCTTAGATTGGGGCTCCTCATAAGAAGTGAATTCTTATATTCCAGCATGATTTTCTTTACCTTTCTTTTACTCTTCCTCATTCTACCCCCACAAAAGTATTACTCTTTACATTCAAAAGTAGTACATGTAAATCTCAGAAGAGAAGCAATATTAGCTGAACATAAAGGCCAGCTGCCATGTGGAATTGATGTTTGATACTTAGAATTTTTGGAAGTAAAAACGCTTCTGGTTGAATAGTTGAATTAGCTAACATGACTCAACCCTGAAAGGCCCACTGTGATAAAGCAATGACATTTAACTAAGGCTGTAATTTAATTGTACTATACCCTTTAGCAATAGCTCATTGATCTGTGAAAATATTTGCTGCTTGGTTTAATTAATTTATGATGTTAGTGAGTTATTTGCAAAATGAATAACTTCATTTTCCAAATTTTCGGCCTGAGTTCATAAAACCCACTTTCCTTAGAAAAGTAGTTAATCTTTTCAATGATTATTGGACAGTAGGCATTTTTGATTCCACGAGCTTAAAAGTAGCTCAATCCTACTGAAGCCACTAGTTTAATATTTTAACTCCCCAAATACCATGTGTAACCTTAGACTGCCTTGTTAAACAATAATTCATTGCTTTTTGGGAAGCTGAGCTACAAATCCATTTACTAATATTTTAACTCTTTGGTCAAAGTTCTATTCAGGATTTATGTTGCTTTGGATTTTGGAGAACTGCCTAAATTAGGGAGGAAATACTTTGAGTGAAAGAACCCAGAATATATATTGGTAGTCTCCTCAACTCCTCAAATTTGTAAGTTACCTGGAAGATTAGCCCCTTGTTTGTGTTAATTTAAAAGGATTTCTATAGAAATTTCTTGGAATGAATACAAAAAGTTCTATTTCTAGCTATAATCAGTGTTTTAAAATAACTATTTCTAGGTATCCCTTCTAAATAATAATCTCATAGGTTATGTAGAAATAAATTATCACCGTATGGCACTATTTGGTTTGGAGCATACTTTTTCATACTTATTATACCATTTGAGCCTCAAGTGAAAACTTACACAGATTGGGAAACTGAGGCCCAAAATAATAATATGGTATATACCCAAGATCCCATTGCTAGAGACTGGACTCACACACAGTATCCTGGCCTTTTCCTCTACACATTGAGTTATACCCATTGCTGATCTAAGTTTTACAAAGATGTAGAAGGCAGTGCTTAACAGCAGCTTTTCAGAGGTCCTGTTAGGATTTGCAGTATTCCGATGCAATTGTGAAATTTCCACTGAGTCTCACATTTTAGCTTTCATACTAATGTATGCATTTTTCTCCATTTCTTAATTGTCTTTTACTATACCAATGGTGTTTTAAATGACTTACCTTTAATTGAAACTGCTTTAGAAAGAATGGCCACATTAATCTCATGAATAACCTTATAAATATACCTGGCCCCTGCCATGTGCCTCTAAGGGCAGTGGTTCTCAGTGAGTAAGTGGGGGTGATTTTACTCCCCTGGGGATATTTGACAATGTCTGGAGACATTTTTGATTGCGAGTGTTATTGTCAAGTAGCAGGTAGAGGTCAGGGATGCTGTTAAGTTATCCTACAATAACTGGAACAGCCCCCCCCTCAAAGAGTTCTCCAGCTTCAAATGTCAGTAGTGCCTTCTCTAGAGGCCTTTGTGCCACAACTGAAGAATCACAGACCTGCAGACTAAGGTACAAACAGTATAGCATTCAAAATCTACCTGATAGTCACACCTGCCCTCTCCAACTTCATCTTCCATTACACCCTCAAGGACTTCTGTATCCAACCATCCTGGACTACTGGTTCTGTTCTGATTATGACTCATGCTTTCCTTCTTCCATGCTTTTGCTCTTCCTCTGCCTGTCACCAGATTTTTTTTTCTGTCCCCTTCTTTTTTCATCCCCATCTCCTTGACAGTAATTTCCTATCAAAATGTGTTATACCTGTTCTTCCAGTTCCAGTTCATTTGTCCTCTCCAGATCCTTTTGTGGTTCAGAAATGCCCCTCCTTTGAACCTGTAACGCATCTAGTGTCTCACATTTTGCTTCTAATTATTCATGTGTATTTATATCTAGCTGAATAGTATATTCCTTTTACTTTAGGGCATTGGTTCTTAAAGTGTGGTCCCCAGACCTTCAGCCTCAGCATCAGTATCACCAGGGACTTATTAGAAATAGAGATTCTCAGGCCCCATCACAAGCCTATTGAATTACAAACTTTGGGAATTCAACTCAGAGATCTGTTCTCCATGAATTCTCATAGATGTTAAAGTTTGAAAAGTTTTGGTTTAGGTCATCTGTGTTTGGTTTGTAACACTGTTCAAGGCACATAGGAAGCATTTATTTAATATTGAGTGAATGACACATGCTAAATCATGAGCCAAAGGACTCCATAAGTATGAAATTAAATAGCTGTTTTTGCCAAAATATTGTGAAAGTATTTAGACATATACAGAGAAAAACTGGAGGAAACAAAAATCAATCAGGAATAGTCAAATAAGAAAGTTCTTTTTCTTTAAAATATTGATTGTTGATTACAGTTATTTCTTAACAAATTTGAACATTGTAATCGAAAAACATGGGTTTAACTTTAGGATATCTATTTTTACTTAGATATTGTATATATAAAAATACTGACAACTAACTTGGCTTCCAGAGAATGTAATTTATAACATGCCAGAATGTATTAGCAGGTGCCTGACAACTGTTTTTTATGAGAGTTGTTTTCTGTGCTCTTAAATAAAACTATGCTCCATAAATCACATGGGGAGAGTCATACCTCTCTCACTGATCTCCAAGTTTCCTGTGAGTGGCAAATAATGCCTTCTATGTACAGTCAGCTGGCAGAGATTGCCCTTTGGAAGTCATTGTGATTTAGCACATGGAGAACAAAGAATTGAGATTTTTATGTTTCTCTGCTTTTTTTTTTTTTTTTTTTTTGTCCTACACATTCTTGCTCCTTGCTTATCTACCTCACAGGACCGGTAAGGAACAAAATTTGCTGGATAAGGAAGTTGTGTTAGGATTAGTTGTATTATGCCTGTCCTGAAACCTCCAGCTCCCAGGCTGGGTGTATAACTCTGCCATATAAACCAGTTGTTGGGTCCTGTAGTATTTATCCCTAGAGGGGCGATGGCATTGTCTCTTTTATAAGTAGGTTTGGAGTGATGAATAATAAAAATGACAGTAATAAAAGCTTGTGTTTACGGAGTCCTTTCTCTAAGCCAGGTGCTATGCCTGCATTATTTAATTTAATCCTCCAAATCTTATGTGCTTCTTAAAAGCCCCTACTGACCACAGCAGAAAGTATTTTCCAAGCCTTTCATCTTTATAGTACTTTGAAAGATGTGAAAATGTTTCCCCTATTTAGAATCAAACCCCTTTGGGGAATAAATATTTCAGCATGATATATAAATAGCCTCTTTCTCTCTACTTGTGCTCAAATGGAGAGGAATATTGATAGAATTTAGCTTTCAGGCAAGGCTTGAGAAGCGGAGCGAACAGCTGTGTTGCACACCTGGGCATGCATGGTCTGACCACTCTGGTCCTGTTGTATCTGGGAGCTTTTCTCTGTTCCAAACCTGGAATCATAACTTTTCTTCCCCTTCTTGTTGACTGCTTTATTACACTGGGGTAATGCATGGAGTGTTCTCATACAATTGACTTCTATTTGCCAAAGTAGCATGTGAGCATTTTTCTAGTTAAGATCAGAAGCTTCCTGCTAGGCAGTGTACACACAGAAAATGGATCACAAAAAGAAAGCAGCTGAAATATATGTCAGGTGATATGATTGGTTGTTTGGGGACTGGATGACCCTGAAGATCCTGTTCAGCTCCGAACTTTCATTCTGAACTATAAGTTTTGGAAGAGGTTTTCCCAAGAGGACCTCTTGGAAGTTACCATTAAATATGTGAGGCAGTATTAGGGTGCTATTCCCTGATCTCATCAAAGTCCTATGATTTTTATGAGAAACTTATAGGAGCAAGAAAGGAAACATAAGGCAGAGAGAGAGAAAAAAAAAGAAGAGATTCAGACCTAATGATACTAAGGAAATAAGGGGCACCTCACTTTCTAGATTATTTCTTGATTTCTAAGAAGTATCTGAGGAGCAGATATTTGTGTCCTTCCCTTCAGAGTTGGGTTTCTTCCTGCTTTTTCCATAATCTCTTTGCTCCAGTGACTTACAGCAGCACTTGATCCTGACAGGTGCATCCCAGGGACTCCTTTTCCCTCACTCTCATCAGCATTTAGCAGGGAATTGTGGAGGGAATGGGGCTGGGGGCAGGTAGGAATATTTAGAGGCAACAGGGGGTGCTTTATCTGTAGAGAATTTCAGAAACAATAATAAAATTAAAGTTGGTTTTCTTTCTGTTATCACCATGCAGGGGCAAATCTGAACAATGCCACTGACAAAGTACTCCTCTTCATAGGCAGCAGTGCCCACTGTGTCCCCCGTGCCCCCATTGACACTGTGGTTTGGTTAAAGAGGCCTTAGTTCTTTAGGAAACAGAGAAGGTAGAGACCTCTCTCTGCATGATTTCTACTCTTAGAAATCTAATAGCTTTTTCTTTCCTTTGTTTCCTTTCTTATGTATGTGTGTTTAGGCAAGGAAACAGTTACTGTTCTTCCAGGAGCCTCTTACTTCTCCAGCGATGAATCATTTGCGATGATTAGAGGGTATGTGACAACGGAGCCCCTCGTGTTCCACATGGCATGGAATGAACTGAGTCATCCCCTGAACGTGTTAGCAAGGCTCCAAAACGTAACCACATCTCCCAGCCAGAAAATGGTCATAGCTCATTCAGCTGCACCAAGATGTGAAATTATTCACATTGAATGTTGGGAATTGGAACATTGAGCTCACAGTTATTAAAAGAACCCCCCAAATGGAATCTATATCTATGTGCTGAGAATACCAAAGTCAACATTTTTAAAGTTCTTTCTGAGGATCCCAACATTTCCTACAAAATTGTGTTTTCATTTTCTAGCTAGCGTTTCCCTTCAAATCAAGCCACATTCCCCTCACGGAAGGAAACAAATGCACTGTGTACACCTGTTTTTAATTTGTTTTTGGAGACTATTTAGGCTATAATTTTTTTTTAAAGAACTCTTAATGGTTATTTCTCTATATCAGCTTGAGCTGATTGATTTGGAAATAGGTGTTGGTGGGAGAAAGCAAATTTATTTTGGAGGGTATAGAATTATTTTAATTGCTGGCAATTTCAAGCAAATGGGACATAAAGCTTGTGAAGTTTGCTTTATATTTCCTTTTTCTCTCTCAGGGGGCATGTCAATCTAACAATGCTCGGAGCAATGCAGGTTTCCAGATATGGTGACCTCGCTAACTGGATGATACCTGTAAGTGAACATTTTTCTTTGGAGTTGTGCCTGGGTTGCCATAATTATGTTTTAAGAAAAATCTTGTTGCATTGCTGTGCTATATTGTTCTACAATATAATGTAAAAATAAGGACATATTTTAATAGTGACATTTAATATTTTAGTCAAATTTTGGTAAAGCAGCTACTGAGAACTATTTAACTTTGCTTATTTACTGTCTAGTTGCGACTAAAAAGGTAAGAACGGGGCCAAAACCTAATTTTCCATGAGGAACAGAGAACTGGGGAAGATTAAGAATAAGTGGGTTAATTCTGATAAAAATAAGAAATACCAATATTTGTTATAGCTAAATTTTTATAATTAGAAAGAACAATTAAGTTCATTAATTTTATGTTAATTCTATATTTTCTTATGGTGATTAAAAACCTCTCTTGATCGGTCGATCATAAATAATCATTCACATTGTCTTACCTCATAAGTAATCAATCACATTGTCTCCTGTAATGGAATACAAATCTTATGGTGTTTAAACATGCTTGTGAAATGCAAACAATTTTCATTTACTAACAGCCTAAATCAAGGAAAAACCACTTAGAATCAGCTTTGGAAGAAGGACTATAATCAGTAGACTTAATTTATGAGTGTGTTTTGTTATGTTCCAGGTTGTTGCTTTGTGATATGTGTATGGCAACAAGAAATAATTCATGTCCGTGATTATGAGCTCATTTTGGTTGGTAACTCAGGTTATACTTTGTGTGTACGTAAGGATTTGTGTGGTTTTTCTGTATTGTCAGCCAAAAGGAATTTGTTTAAATAACTGATACTTGTGTTCTATGATTTGAGAGTTTTTCTGAAATCTTAGATTTTTTCTCTAGTAATTTCTTGGGGAAGGTAGATTAATATGTTTGATGACAGTGTTAGATTGTGTTTAGCTCTTTTGATCTTATATACCATTAAATATTATTTTAAAGTTTGAATAATGATTAAAGTCCTGGTTCTCAAACTTCATTGCATATTAGAATCACTTGACAGTTTTAAAAAATATTATGCTCCCAGAGTTTCCAATTTAACTAATATGGGATGTAGCCTAGGCACTGGCCATTTTAAAAGCAACCTTGGTGATTATATAGCCAAGTTTGAGAACCAGAATATTAAAGAATAATCAAAAATCACATTTAAAACATAAAGAAAAGGGGCACCTGGCTGTCTTAGTTGGTAGAGCATGCTACTCTTGATCTTGGGGTTGTGAGTTCAAGCCCCACACTGGGAATAAAGTTTACTTAAAATAATAAAGTGTAAGGGAGAAATATGATTGAACCATTAAAATAATAAGAACCTTAGTAAATTATGGAATATATTGTTATTTTAGTTTAAAAATATTCATCATTCTAAATCAGCCATTAAGAGTTGACATCAGGGAAAATCTCCTGAATGTTGTACAGTGAATCAGATTGACAGTTTATGGGAATACTTATTTGTGTAGATAATGAGAATATATTTTTATTTTTAAAATCTAAAAAAAGGCCATATGGAGTAGTAGAAAGAGTGTAAAAATGTAAGCCCTGCATTCTAGCCCTGACTCTATGCAGTAACCAAGGTGTGATGTTGAACATGTCACTTAAATTCTTCATGTTAAACCATCCTTATCTATAAAATGAGGAATTGAGACTAGATGATTTCAGGTGTCCTGTCTGGCTCTCATAGCCTAGTGGTGAAGAGCAAGGGCCCTGTAGTGAGACAGATGTGGGTTGAAACCCAATTTTTGTCACTCACTAGCAGTGTAACTGAGGCATTGCCTGCTTTTCTTCATCTGTAAAATGGGAATGATAGAATACTACCTACTTTATAAGATTACATAAAGGAGTAAATGATATAATGTATACAAAGTACTTAACACTTTGTATATGATGTATAGAGGTTGATGCCTACTTCAAACTAAATAAATGGCTTGTTATTATTTAAGAAGGAGAAGTTGGGGGTACCTGGCAGAAAAGGGAATAGAATTAGTTACTATGAACAGAAACAATGGAGATTTAAATATGCCTATTTCTCTGGACTGTTAACAAGTTTTGAAATCAATTTGCACAGTGGTCATGAGTATGGAGCAGAATAATGTTCAACACATTTTGCCTTCAGGGAACATGGGCATCTTTAAAAAGTCAGTGTATGTTTTGTTTATATTATAGTTTAGCACATGGGGAGGCTAGAAGCACTCAGAGTATGCATTCTGTAGTTGCCCTATGAAGGAAAGATTTTTCAGTATATATCACATTTTTACATATCCTGTGAGTGATTAAAATATCAGTGTTTGTTACTTTATACTCTTCTTAATACTCTAAGAACTCATGCATTTCCAAATGACTGGACCTAATAGGGCAGTGATGGAGAACTCTGGAGGTCTAAAGGAACAAAAACGAAGCATGAAATGTATTCTTGTGTCTGTTTCCACTCTTTTGGGTAGTAGAAGTTGATAGTGTCATTTCTTTTCTTTCTTTCTTTTTTTTTTGGTTTTTGTTTTTGTGAGAGAGAGAATGTGAGCAGAGGGCAGGGGTGGGCGCAGAGGGAGGGGGAGAGAGAGAATCTTTTACAGGCTCCAGCCTACCTAGCTCAGAAACCAACATGGGGCTCGATCTCACAAATCTAAGCTCATGACCTGTGCCAAAACCAAAAGTTGTTTGCTTAACCGAGTAAGCCACTCAGGCACCCTGGTAGTATCATTGCTGATGAGATTTTATTTTGTTCCTTTAGTAACTGATAATCACTTTTGTATTCTTCATATGTGATGCATAGTGTTTATTTTGACTCTTTTGAATGCAGAATAGCTTAAGAGTCCAGACCATGAGCTTCAGTTTGTAATAAATTTGATTTGAATTTCAGTTCTCTCCCTAACAAATCATACAATCCAGAGTACGTTTTTGTCAGGATTAATTGAAAAGAAAATGAAAGTGGCCACTAAAAGCACTGCATAGATATAGTGGCTATTATTTTTTTCTTCTTCAGTGCTCTATTGCTTAACGTTAAAGAGAATATTTGCCCTAAAGTACACTGGCATAAGCAAGACTGTGTTTTGCGGAAGCTAGTACAGACTGCTTATCCTGAGTTCATATTCAAGTACCAAAAATTAAACCCTTTGAGGATACATTTCTTGCTCTTATTGGTTATGGGTAGGATATAGCCTGTCCTCTTTAAAGTTTCAGTGAGCAGTCTATTTCTATTTGTCCCAAAGATTTATGTTGATTATTAAAATGTAGATATATTTTTATTGCAAGATCTGGCAGTTAAGAAGCTGAAAAGTTCGGCTTTATTATATCATTTTTCATTTACTTTTATCTTTTTGCTGAGTTGAATAATCTTTCAATGGTTGTAAAGCCTTGAGTTTCTCTGCATCATGGCATCTCCATCAATCATCACAATGTCAGATTACAATAAACATTAAGCTTTTAAGGCAGGTGAATGGTATGGATACTATTTGTCTTATCCTTTAATAGCTTCTTTGTATGCAGTGTTAGTCTTCTATACACAGATTTTTTAAAATTCTGCCCTGAGCATCTGAAGAGAGAAAATGTGACAAAATAGTAGTTGGCTCCTTCAAGTTCTCTGATTATCGTGATGATGGTAAAACCCCAGGCAAGCTACAAAAATGTGGACAGATGTGTGGGCCCATTGAATCTGCATTCAGAACTGTTCTGGCTTTCCTAATGCCTATTTTTGGAAAACAGCTGCCATAGATTATTGACTTGTGAAGGGAAGCAGATGTGCATGAACAGCAATGGAAGCTGGTTATTGAAAGCATGCAACTGTGGCCTGCTGGACAGGGCTGCTATGGGGAGTGACACAATAGCCAAGGGCTTGCTCTTTTTATGTGGGGAGAATTGAAATGAGGGAGTCTTAAGGCAAAGGAAGACAGGATGTATTGTGTTTGTTTTTCCCTCACATTTTAAAAATTTCTTTGTGCCTTTTAAAAGAAGAAGTACAAATTGATGTACTCATGTATGCTACATGTATGAGTGCATAATATTGGTTTGGTATTCTAGTTGTGTCTTTTTAAAATAAAGCTAACTCTCTAGTCTTCTGTTTGTACACTAAGGAGGTTTGTGTTCAAGATTTAAATGATGTTAATGATATCTCAGTAAAGCTGGGAAAATTTTAAAAATTAAAAGATTTAATCTAGTGGTTTAATTGCATCAACTATAGTCTAAATATTAAATCTATAGATGATATAAATATAGAAATATAAAGATTAAACTATAGATAAAGGTAAAAACCTACAGATATAGAGATAGATTTAACATATTTGTCTTGTTCTGTAAACCATAGGTAAGGAAAATGGTGGAGAAAATATGTATATATGGTATTATGCTTTTACGCTTATTTGGTAATACTTTTACCATAGTGTAATTGTAGTGGAAAGTGTAGAACTTTGGAGTTAGACTGCAAAATACTGGTTCTGTCACCTATTAGTGGTAGGGCAGGTGATTTTATTTTGGTATACTCATTTACAAAATGATAGTGTTTAACTCATATGCTTGTTCTGGGGATTGCATTAGTTCATTCAACAAATATTTATTAGGCATGTATTAAGGGCCATGTACTGTTCTTGCCTCTTAAAGATGCAGCAGTTAACAACAAATGAAATTCTTTGTACTTACGGAGCTGATGTTCTAGCAGGGGTCAGCACATATGGCCCATGTGCTGTACGTGACCCACTGCCTCTTTTGGAAATAAAGTTTTACTGAAACACAGCCCCATCCATTCATTTATACATTACCAATAGCTGCTTTTATGCTGCAACAGCAAAGTTGAGTAGTTGGAACAAGAGACTGTATGGACCATAAAACCTAAGATATTTACCATTTAACACTTTATAGAAAAGTTTGCCAACTCCTGCCTTAGATCATTGGTTTGAAAAGTTTCTTTTCTAATATAAGCATGTAATGGTATAAATTTCTCTCTATGTGCTTTATTAGTCACACCCTGCAAATTTTTACATATTGTGTTTTCATTTTCTCTTCAAAATAT